AGATATTGTAGGGATGTACGTTACCGACTACCGCATATCGATCGCGGATATTATATTATTGAATATTAATTGATCTAATTGACACCGAGAAGAGAGGACGCTGTTTAGTGACGCTTTCGAGTCTGACTCGTCAGCCATTTTACTCTCATTCTCATCCTAATGTTCGTAGAGTCAAGTTGTGTTCTATTCTTTTTCGTGAAAATAATTAAAATTATAAAAATGAGAAGAGGCGTCACCGTCAAATAGACGGTGAGTCCCAATAAATTAATTAGGAGTCATTTCCTTCAGAATCGATCTTATTATTATTAAAGTATAATTCAATAAATAAAATATAAATCTTGTCTTTCGTCCTTCTGCCATTATTTAACTTTTACTAAAATTTAAAGTGAATATTAATAAATAGTGTTATTGTTATAAATTTTGTCTAATTAATGGTGTCTATTGCTGCTGTAAAGTATCAATGGAATTCCAGAGCTGATTTTAGTTTTTCCTAATTAGAACTATAAAATTTATTTGTCGGCTTATTTAACTATTTTTTTAAGTTTACTTATTTTCCATAAAATAACATGGCGTCTTGGCAAAATTAATAATTAAAACATGTAGATAGCATTGTCTTGAAAATATAATAATAAATAATTTAAATGTAAAATAAATTTAAAGAATTACAAAAAAAAGAAGAAAAATTTGCTGTTTCAGATATTTTTCATTCTTTATTAAATGGAAAATATTTTAGATGACAAGTATCGACTATATGAACATTTCTTGATAAAATATCCGTTTTTCTGTGTATGTGTATAAGTGTGTGGATATATCGATGTCAAAGAAAGTCTTTTGATGTTGACCATTTATATGAGAAATATCGACTTAGAAGATTCTTTTTCTCACATTGGCAATGGTGGACATGTGAAAACTTCAAAAGTTGTCCTCGAGAGGTCTTCAACGTTTTCCACGCTTAACACGCGGTTATATAAAAGGAATTTACTGGGGAAATAGATTCGCGGTCTATTTATTTCTCAAGACATTTTTTTTTCTTATTCGCAACCTATATTTTTTTTGCAAACGTAAAAAAAAATTTGTTTTAATGTAATTAAAATTTTCCATTTTATTTGATAAATGATTTTATATTCTAAGGAACAGAAAAAAAAATGTTTGAAAGAATGATAAACAAATAATGAGATAAATTATAGAAGGGAGAGTTTGAAAAAAAGGAATATTAGAGGAGAATACGAAATAGGGAGAATAATGTCGTTATTATAAGTAGCTAGATGGTGGGTAATATTTTATAGGTTAGATGTTCGTAGACTTTGAATGTCTTTGCGGACGTTAAGTGACTCCGAGTGGAAGTCAGATAACGGTTTATTGCCGCTAACTTCGGACACTCCAGTGTGTCTCCGCACGCGCGCCATTCCACCATGACAGAAACTTCGGAATACTGCAAAGACAGATAGGAGATAGAATAAATTTCTCAAAGCCCTTGTTTTGTAAGATCTAACTACATTATTCTACTATTTTATCTCGCTTTTTCAAATCCATCTTATCTTAATTTCATTTATTACATCCCAACTTCAAAAAACTTGACAGGATTTTTCTTAGCGAAGTAAAAAGTTTTTCGTTTTAAATTTGCTGTCTCTTGTACAAAAAAAAGAGAATGAAAATTCAGTTGCCCCTTCTCATTCGTCAAAAATATTAACACCGCTATATAAAAAAATTCTATATTTTTGCCTCTTTGGAAATTAGTCGAAAAATCAAACCCAAATCTACTTTTCCGAAAGAGGAGTATAAATATTTGTATTGATATGGTTTAAAATAGTTTAGAAGAAAAATTAAAAATAATTTTTAATATATTTTTATTATTAAATTAATTATGCTTAAAACTGATATTTCAATAAAAAACAGTTTTATAAAATCTCAATCATTGTATATGAAAATTATATTTCTTGTATGTAACAGATTGAAATAAAAATGTAAATGTCATGAGAATCCAACAATCAAAAGTTTCATTTTAATGTTGATCAAGAAACTTTTCTCATTCAAGTTTTGGGAACAAAAACTAAAATCTGCATTCATTGCCAGAGTTTACTGGAACGAGTGGAACACATTTTTTAATATTCTGTAGAGTAATAGTTTCTTAGTTTATGAGCATAAAAAATACAAATAGTTTTTGCTGACCTAGGCATGTAAATGGCTTTTATTATCATCATAACAGTAATACATGTCAGTAATGGATACCCTGTCTGCTTTATTACATTTTCCAATGTTGTCCACTGACGTTTATTTTCCTGAACATGCATGTTACATTACAATTTTATTTCATCATATATATATATAATATATAGATATTGTTCTACAATTTTCCATATATAAAATATTTAACGTTATCTCTCAACCTAAAATTGAAGCAAATATTGACAGTATTTTTTCTATTTTGCTGAAATCGCAAATATTTCTACAAATAAGAATAATTTAAAAGTTTATCAAATAAAAATGTATTTAAAATTCATTGAAATATTTTAAATTTGTTGAAGCGGTTTTTGGAATTATATTTATACCTGCGCCTCGGGCTGTTTGTTTACATTAAAGTACAAAGCCGTAGGGATTATAATAGTACGTGAAAATCTCAAAGATAATTCAATCAGTTGCAATTCGCGTCTTGACCTGTTCAGATATAGCCACAGTGTAAAATTTTTAATTTTCAAAAATAATTCAATCAGTTGTAATTCGTGTCTTGACCTGTTAAGATGTAGTCAGACTGTAAAATTTTTAATTTTCGAAGATAATTCAATCAGTTGCAATTTGTGTCTTCACCTGTTAAGATGTAGTCAGACTGTAAAATTTTTAAAATATAAATTAGTAAATTTCTTGTTCCGTGAGTGTTTTAAATTTTTAAAGCAGATCACATTGTCTAAAACGAAGTCCAAGATGAAACATCGATCGCCAATTGAAGACTACAAAAAAGGTTAGTGATAATATTTTATATGTATTAATTTATTTATATTGATTTCTTTATTTATTATAATTTTTTTTTCTGAAAAATTCCGTTCAAATAATATTTAGAAATTTTTTTTATATACGTTCTTATAAAATTTTTTTTTCAACAATGCCATGAATGAGTTAGCATCATCAAATGCAGTTTTACCTCGGTGCTAAAATTAGCATATAGGATTAGTGCGCGTTCCAGGGTTTAAGTCGACGTGCATGGCGGCATACCGATAAGACTTTATTAACGTCCACAAGAGTATTTGTCCACATCCAGTCCCACAGTCTATACTTACCAGGATACGATCATGTGCAATTGAGCTTTTTAAGCTTTTTCTTGCGAGCCATTGTAAAACACCTCTCTCGAGTAATAATTAAGGTCAATTTTAAAAAATGACAAAATTGTTAGACGCATATGAGTATATCAGTATGGGAATATAAATTTTTTATGATCCCTTTTAAAACGAGTATTAAAAAAAAATAATGAAACAATTTCCCCCCTCGATAGATTATCTGTAAAATTTAGAGTTATTTTTTTTGAAAATATTAAAAATTTATATTAATTTTTTTTCGAAAATGTATATAGAAATTAATAATTTTTTAAGGGAGCCTCTATATGTATGTTTCCAAACATATTCCAAACGATAAACAATTGAATTTTTAAAAAAATATTTAATCTCAAATAGTTTAGTTAAAGAAGAAGATAGAATTAAAAAAGGAAAATTATTGACAGTAAAAGTGAAATTCAAAGTTTTAAAAATGTAAGGTATTTTCAGTACAGTAGTTTGAAATTATAAAACAAGTTTCCTGTTAATCTAAAATGTATTGTAACACCAAAGTTTAAAGCTGAGAACGTATGAAACATGTATTTAATAATTAATGCTGGATATTCCTCGATGGGGGGGAAAAACATTCTTTAATTCATAGTCATAAAATATGAATCGAAGTGAGAAACGCGTTAGTCATGGTTCATTGCTCGCAAAACGTGTGTCCTATTCGTTAAAAATACCTCTTTTCGTAAAAAATTAATCACATTTTTTTCTATATCTAAACAAAATTGATTTTATCATTTATTTCTCTAGAGGATTTTCTCAACAGAAAAAATTTTCACGTCTTAGGGATAGGAATATAATTTTAAAAATTTACTCTTCTTTTCTATTTTAGCGGAATATTTTCTTTAATTATTATTTTTAAGAAACGAATTTGAAATATTAGGTTAAATGTGCGAAACTGAATTGTAGTTACTTTCGAAGCGTTTATATATTCCTCCATCTCCTATTTTTAGAGAAGCTGCACTAGTTCTCCATTTCTACATTTTTGAATAATAATTAATATTTACTTACTAATATATCACTGCATTTAACAAAACTTTTCCACTGTGCAACCCTTTTACGCGAAGTAAAAGTGGCGTCACGCCGGATACAGGATTTACACGCATGGACTTGCTAATCCTTAGTTATGGCAGCTAAGGATCAAATCTAATACTTTTTCATCAAATGTAGAAAATATTTATTAGCTGCAATAGCTAAATGATTTTTCTCCATGTATTTTGTGTCTACGCGCAAATATTAAATATGGTGTCTGGAGTCGTATAATTGACTCGCTGACGTTGTCGAGTACTTTTTCCACTTGGGATATTAAAATGGTAATCTCTCCCCCAATACTTCATACGACTTGCTGTTCAGGTAATCGTGTAAAATTTATAAACCCGAGTCTCCTATTACGTTCAGTATGTACGATATTGCCATAGGACGTGTAATTGGTTGCTTAAATACTGCTGGCATCTGCTTCGAACGGCAATGGTTACCCATTCCTGCATTTGCCGAATACAATTTATATATGAAATTTTAATTCCGCGAATGCCAAATCTAGTTGTTCAGTGTGAAGTCTAATTCCAAAATCTTTTGTTTCCATCAGCAAAACTATATAATATATTTCGAATGTTTTTTTTCTAAAAATTCTGAAATAAAAACATTGTTATTTTTCAAAATTTATAAAGGAAAGGAAATAATTAAATTGATACATATTATACTTAGATCGTTTATATATAAGGGTGCAAAGAAGAATAATGAAATCTTACATGATGTTTCGATAAATTTACTGTTAAGAAAGTACAAAATAGTCTAGTTCTTTTTACACAGAAACATCCGTGAGTGATGAAACAATAAACATTACTTTTTTATCTTAAATAAGTTTTGTGAAGGATACGTGAGATCGATTTTTAGTCTCACTTTCTGTCCCATTGTGGATGATAGGAAACGATGGAAATTAAGTTGTCACCATCCTCCGCTGTTATTCTTATTTTATTATATTTTATATTTCTTTATTCTGCAATAATTTCTTATACTAATTTTTTCTTCAAATAAGCTTTCTTATAAAAGTCCCAAAAATTGTAGAAAATAATAAGAACATGAAACATGTACAAACATGCTAAAGGTTTACGACGTGGCTCGCAGGACGGCATTAGAGCCTGAGTTGTGTGAATAATTATGATTACAAACTGCATCTGAAATGAAACAAAACACGTGAGTTTAGAAATTATTTTCATAATTGTATTTTTGCTAATTTATTCATTAATTAGAATAGCAATATTTACGGATTTTAGAAAAAGTTTTCGATTTTTTAGTTTTTCGAAATAATCCATGCGGGATACCGACAAAGTCTTAACCTAGAAGTCTCAAGCGGATGCTGAGCTACACTCAAATAAATTTATGAAAAATTTTCGAAAAATTAAATTTTCGAGACAATCGTTCGGGAATACCACCAATAAAATAGGGAAAAAGTTTCGAACAAAAAATGTATGGCGCACTTTTTGATTGGTACAGCGGATGCTGAGCTACTCAAAAATATTTTGGAAAAATTTTCGAAAAAATAAATTTGCGATGTAATCGATCAGGATTACCACCAAAGTAGTTAGAAGAAAGTTCTGAACGAAAAATGTATGGCGCACTTTATGATTGGTCCAGCGGATGCTAAGCTACACTCAAATAAATTTATGAAAAATTTTCGAAAAATTAAATTTTCGAGATAATCGTTCAGGAATACCACCAATAAAATAGGGAAAAAGTTTCGAACAAAAAATGTATGGCGCACTTTTTGATTGGTCCAGCGGATGCTGAGCTAAACAAGAAAAAAAATTCGGAAAAATTTCGAAAAATTAAATTCGCGAGAAAATCGTTTGAGAATACAACCAAAAAAATAGTTAAAAAGTTCCGAACAAAAAATGTATAACGCACTTTTTGATTGGTCCAGCGTATGCTGAGCTACACTTAAAATATTCAGGAGATAAATTTTAGAAAAATAAAATTTGTTAGATAATGACTCGGGAATAATGCCACAAAATTGAGCAAAAAGTCTCGAACAAAAAATGTATGGCGCACTTTTTGATTGGTCCAGCGGATGCTGAGCTGGGCTAAAAAACAAATTCGGAAATTTTTCGAAAAATTAAATTCGCGAGATAATCGTTCGGGAATACCGCCAAATTCTTTAGCAAAAAGTAGCGAACAAAAAATGTATAGCGCACTTTTTGATTGGTAAAGCGGATGCTGAGCTAAGCTAGAAAACAAATTCGGGAAAAATTTCAAAAAATTAAATTCGCGAGATAATCGTTCGGAAATACCACCAAAAAATAGGCAAAAAGTTCGGAACATCAAATGTATAGCGCACTTTTTGATTGGTCCAGCGGATGCTAAACTACGCTTAAAAAAATCGGGAGAGAAATTTTAGAAAAATAAAATTTGCTAGATAATGACTCGGGAATAATGCCAAAAAATTGAGCAAAAAGTCTCGAACAAAAAATGTATGGCAAACTTTTTGATTGGTCCAGCGGATGCTGAGCTAAGCTAGAAAACAAATTCGGAAATTTTTCAAAAATTAAATTCGCGAGATATTCGTTCAAGAATACCGCCAAATACTTTAGCAAAAAGTAGCGAACAAAAAATGTATGGCGCACTTTTTGATTGGTCCAGCGGATGCTGAGCTAAAATAGAAAACAAATTCGGGAAAAATTTCGAAAAATTATATTCGCGAGATAATCGTTCGGGAATACCACCAAAAAATAGGCAAAAAGTTCTGAACATCAAATGTATAGCGCAGTTTTTGATTGGTCCAGCGGATGCTGAGCTGCACTCCAAAATGTTTTGGAAAAATTTTCAAAAATTAAATTTGCGAGATAATCGATCGGGAATACCGCCAAAGTCTTAACCCGGGAGTCTGGAACAAAAAATGTATGGCGCACTTTTTAATAGGTCCAGCGGATTCTGAGCCACACTCAGATAAATTTTTTAAAAAATTTCGAAAAATTAAAGTTGAGAGATAATTGATCAGGAATACCGCCAAAGTCTTAACCCGGGAGTCTCGAACAAAAAATGTATGGCGCACTTTTTGATTGGTCCAGCGGATGCTGAGCTGAGCTAAAAAACAAATTCGGAAATTTTTCGAAAAATTAAATTCGTGAGATAATCGTTCGGGAATACCACCAAATTCTTTAGCAAAAAGTAGCGAACAAAAAATGTATGGCGCACTTTTTGATTGGTCCAGCGGATGCTGAGCTACACTGAAATAAATTAATGAAAAATTTTCGAAAAATTAAATTCTCTAGATAATCGTTCGGGAATACCGCCAAATTCTTTAGCAAAAAGTAGCGAACAAAAAATGTATAGCGCACTTTTTGATTGGTAAAGCGGATGCTGAGCTAAGCTAGAAAACAAATTCGGGAAAAATTTCGAAAAATTAAATTCGCGAGATAATCGTTCGGGAATACCACCAAAAAATAGGCAAAAAGTTCCGAACATCAAATGTATAGCGCACTTTTTGATTGGTCCAGCGGATGCTGAGCTGAGCTAAAAAATAAATTCGGAAATTTTTCGAAAAATTAAATTCGCGAGATAATCGTTCGGGAATACCGCCAAATTCTTTAGCAAAAAGTAGCGAACAAAAAATGTATGGCGCACTTTTTGATTGGTCCAGCGGATGCTGAGCTAAGCTAGAAATCAAATTCGGAAAAAATTTCGAAAAATTAAATTCTCGAGATAATCGTTCGGGAATACCGCCAAATTCTTTAGCAAAAAGTAGCGAACAAAAAATGTATGGCGCACTTTTTGATTGGTCCAGCGGACGCTGAGCTACACTCAAAAATATTTTGGAAAAATTTTCGAAAAATTAAAATTGCGAGATAATCGTTCGGGAATACCGCCATAGTGATTAGAAGAAAGTTCTGAACAAAAAATGTATGGCGCACTTTTTGATTGGTCCAGCGGATGCTGAGCTAAGCTAGAAATCAAATTCGGAAAAAATTTCGAAAAATTAAATTCTCGAGATAATCGTTCGGGAATACCGCCAAATTCTTTAGCAAAAAGTAGCGAACAAAAAATGTATGGCGCACTTTTTGATTGGTCCAGCGGACGCTGAGCTACACTCAAAAATATTTTGGAAAAATTTTCGAAAAATTAAAATTGCGAGATAATCGTTCGGGAATACCGCCATAGTGATTAGAAGAAAGTTCTGAACAAAAAATGTATGGCGCACTTTTTGATTGGTCCAGCGGATGCTGAGCTAAGCTAGAAAACAAATTCGGAAAAAATTTCGAAAAATTAAATTCGCGAGATAATCGTTCGGGAATACCACCAAAAAAATAGTCAAAAAGTTCCGAAGAAAAAATGTATGGCGCACTTTTTGATTGGTCCAGCGGATGCTGAGCTGCACTCCAAAATATTTTGGAAAAATTTTCGAAAAATTAAATTTGCGAGATAATCGATCGGGAATACCGCCAAAGTCTTAACCCGGGAGTCTCGAACAAAAAATGTATGGGGCACTTTTTGATAGGTCCAGCGGATTCTGAGCCACACTCAGATAAATTTTTTAAAAAATTTCGAAAAATTAAAGTTGAGAGATAATTGATCAGGAATACCGCCAAAGTCTTAACCCGGGAGTCTCGAACAAAAAATGTATGGCGCACTTTTTGATTGGTCCAGCGGATGCTGAGCTACACTCAGATAAATTTTTTTAAAATTTTCGAAAAATTAAATTCACGATATAATTGTTCGGTAATACCGCCAAAGTAGTTAGAAGAAAGTTCTGAACAAAAAATGTATGGCGCACTTTTTGATTGGTCCAGCGGATGCTGAGCTGCACTCCAAAATATTTTGGAAAAATTTTCGAAAAATTAAATTTGCGAGATAATCGATCGGGAATACAGCCAAAGTCTTAACCCGGGAGTCTCGAACAAGAAATGTATGGGGCACTTTTTGATAGGTCCAGCGGATTCTGAGCCACACTCAGATAAATTTTTTAAAAAATTTCGAAAAATTAAAGTTGAGAGATAATTGATCAGGAATACCGCCAAAGTCTTAACCCGGGAGTCTCGAACAAAAAATGTATGGCGCACTTTTTGATTTGTCCAGCGGATGCTGAGCTACACTCAGATAAATTTTTTAAAAATTTTCGAAAAATTAAATTCACGACATAATTGTTCGGTAATACCGCCAAAGTAGTTAGAAGAAAGTTCTGAACAAAAAATGTATGGCGCACTTTTTGATTGGTCCAGCGGATGCTGAGCTGCACTCCAAAATATTTTGGAAAAATTTTCGAAAAATTAAATTTGGGAGATAATCGATCGGGAATACCGCCAAAGCCTTAACCCGGGAGAATCGAACAAAAAACGTATGGTGCACTTTTTGATTGGTCCAGCGGATGCTGAGCTGCACTCCAAAATATTTTGGAAAAATTTTCGAAAAATTAAAGTTGAGAGATAATTGATCAGGAATACCGCCAAAGTCTTAACCCGGGAGTCTCGAACAAAAAATGTATGGCGCACTTTTTGATTTGTCCAGCGGATGCTGAGCTACACTCAGATAAATTTTTTAAAAATTTCGAAAAATTAAATTCACGACATAATTGTTCGGTAATACCGCCAAAGTAGTTAGAAGAAAGTTCTGAACAAAAAATGTATGGCGCACTTTTTGATTGGTCCAGCGGATGCTGAGCTGCACTCCAAAATATTTTGGAAAAATTTTCGAAAAATTAAAGTTGAGAGATAATTGATCAGGAATACCGCCAAAGTCTTAACCCGGGAGTCTCGAACAAAAAATGTATGGCGCACTTTTTGATTGGTCCAGCGGATGCTGAGCTGCACTCCAAAATATTTTGGAAAAATTTTCGAAAAATTAAATTTGCGAGATAATCGATCGGGAATACCGCCAAAGTCTTAACCCGGGAGTCTCGAACAAAAAATGTATGGTGCACTTTTTGATTGGTCCAGCGGATGCTGAGCTACACTCAAAAATATTTTGGAAAAATTTTCGAAAAATTAAATTTGCGAGATAATCGTTCGGGAATACCGCCAAATTCTTAACCTGGGAGTCTCGAACAAAAAATGTATGGCGCACTTTTTGATTGGTCAAGCGGATGCTGAGCTAAGCTAAAAAACAAATTAGGGAAAAATTTCGAAAAATTAAATTCGCGAGATAATCGTTCGGGAATACCACCAAAAAAATAGGCAAAAAGTTC